AATTTTCAATACTTGGGAAATGTTTTCTCTTAGAATCATCTGCTGGTTACCTTTTAAAAAATGTTTTTTCGCCCGGCCGGGCATGGCTCAGCGGTTGAGCGTCGACCTAGGATCCAGGAGATCGGGGTTCGATTCCCGGTCGGGGCACATGCCCGGGTTGCGGGCTGCAGCCAATCAATGACTCTCTCATCACTGATGTTTCTCTCTCTCCCTCTCTCTTCCTCTCTCTGAGATCAATAAAGATATATTAAAAAAAAAAAAAAAATGTTTTTTCAATCACAGTTTACACTCAGTATTATTTTGTATTAGTTTCAGGTGTACAGCATATTGGTTAGATAATCATATACTTCACATGGTGGTCCCCCTGATATTTCCAGTACCCAGTTGGCACCATACATAGTTATTACAGTAGTATTGACTGTATTCCCTGTGCTGTGCTTTCCATCCCCATGACTATTTTGTAACTGCCGATCCGGATCCGTACTTCCCAGTCCCTTCACCTTTTCATCCCAGTCCCCTAACCCTCTCCTCTCCAGCAGTCATCAGTTTGTTCTCTGTGTTGTTGTTTTTTAATATATCTTTATTGATTTCAGAGAGAGGAAGGGAGAGGGACAGAGAGAGATGAAAACATCAATGATAAGAGAGTCATTGATCAGCTGCCTCCTGCATGTCCCCCACTGGGGATGGAGCCCACAACCTGGGCATGTGCCCTCACCGGGAATCGAACCCCAATGGCCTGGATCCTAGGTCAATGCTCAACCCCTGAGACATGCTGGGCCAGGAGAGTCTGTTTCAATTTTATTTATTTTGTTCTTTAGATTCCACATATAAGTGATATCATATGGTGTTTGTCTTTATCTGATTGACTTGTTTCACTTGGCATAATACTCTCTCCATCCATGCTGTCGCAAATGGTAACAGTTTATTTTTTTCTGTGGCCTAGTAAATATTCCATTGTATATATGCACCATGCTGTTTACCTTTTGAACAACTATTTTACTTATTTGGTGTATGTTAAGGAAATATCAGACAAGTGTTCAGAGATACGTCTTTAAGCCTGGTCATTTTTAAAATACTAAAATATTAGAAAAAGCCAAAATAACTTGCATGACAAGAATGATTACATAAAATTGCATTATATACACGTAATGAAATACCGTCATGGAGATGTATGCTCATTAACATGGGAAATAACTTACATTAAAATTCAAAGTAGGATATAAATCTATCTTCGTTCAAAATAAGTTGTAGGTAGGTAAATAGATAGGTAGATAGATTAGATAGATGATAGATAGATAGATAGATAGATAGATAGATAGATAGATAGATAGATAGATAGATAGATAGATAGATGATAGATAGATGATAGATAGATGATAGATAGCTATTGCTATAGATATAAATGAAATAAACATATTTACCAAAAGAGAAACGGTGTCTTAGTCTGCTTGGCTTCTATAATGAAGTGCCATAGACCAGGTAACTTTTAAACAACAGAAATTCATTTCTCACAGTTTCTGGAGGCTAAAGTCCCAGCTTGGAGTGCCAGCATGGCTGAGTAAGGGCCCTCTTCTGACTCACAGACTTCTAGTTTGTATCTTCTTGTTTGGAAGGGACTGGGGAGCTCTGTGGAGTCTCTTATTTAAAAGAGCACTAATCCCATTCCTAAAGGCTCCACCCTCATGACCTGAGCACCCCCCAAAGGTCCCACCTCCTAATACCATCACATTGTGGATTAGGATTTCAACATAGGTATCTTGTGGGGACACTAATGTTCAGATCATTGCAAGTGGTTATTTGGTAAGATTTCAGATATTTTATGGATGTATTTAATTGTGATTTTTTTAAAACAATATATCTATTAGTATATTACATGTACAACAAAAATAATAAATAAAAGAAAATTGTAACAGTATAATAATACCTAATCTGAGCATTTATATTGAGCAATATATTGTGTATCTTAAAGTTTTCAAAATTATTTTTAAATGTATTTATCAGTATATTGCTTGTACAATAAAATAATCATTAAAACATATGACATTATAATATTAGCTACTATTAGCTAATATTTGAGTCACATATTATGTCTTGTGCTCTCCTAATGACTTGCATGCCTTATCTTATGTTACTGTAATTTGCTACTTGTCAATCCTTATTTATGCTATAGATTATCAGGACATGAATTTTCATGCCAGAATGATAATGTAATTTCACATTTATGCATAATTGTTGAGACTGTATCCTGTGTGTGGGTGTATGTTTCTGGGTGGCAAGTACTTAACCTTTTAAATCAGATTATGAGATGGGTTAATATTGCACCCATTAATTTGGGTGAAATTCACTATTCAATTCTCTACTGATGAAAAAAAACAAACAAAAAAACCCTGTGCTTCCAAAGAGGGATACTAAGAGAGAAGCAAAACTATACAGTGGAGAAGAATTTATATTTTCACCTCATTAGTCTATCTGAGGCAGTTGGAACAGATGACAAGTAACAAGAGTTGTGACCTCGGGTCACATTTTTAAAAAGGCTGGAAGAATCAGGAAATCTCTAGTGCCAGCACTGTGTTTCAGCCGGCCAAGAGCTCTGCTTTTAGAAGGTGCTTATACTGTTTAAGTGGAATGTATCAAATGTATACTTGCAGTATATACTATATACAACATATGTACTATTATGTGTATTATATAATAGTATATATAACCCCCAAGAGTTTGTTCAGAGGTTCAGCAGGATGAACACGTAGGAATTCCAAAGGAAGGAAGCGGAGAGAGGACCCCTAATGCAGCAACCTGATTAATCCTGTCAACCTGGTATCTTCTAGCAAAAGTCTTTTCACTGTTAATTCTGCCTTTCAAGATCTAAAATGGTAGATAATTCAATGGACATTAATACTTGGCTTAGGGAAATGTGTTTATATTATTAAATATGTGAAGAAATGCATTAGTAGAACTTTTGCACATTAAAGACTAGAATCATGTATCATGAAACCCACCTGAAGAGGAGCCAGACTGCTGCCCTCGGAGTTATCCGGGTTACTTGTGTGCCCGCTGGTCAGCTTCCTCCTGGGAATGCTGGAAGCCAGGAATGTTAGCTTTGGTAAAGCTCTTACCTGCTGCCCTTTATGTCATTCTTTCCTGAACGACGTCAGTAATGAGCGGGAGTGTGTCGCATCAGAGCTGCCACACCACAGAAGCTTTCAGCTGCCAGCCCCTGTTCCAAGGGCGGCCTTTGCCTCACTTGAATCTTAAAAGAGCTTTTGTGAAACTTCTTATCTGATTTTACGGAGGAGGAAACTGACTCCTGGGGAGATTAAATTGCTTAAATTCACATCACTCAGAGTGACCTCGCTGGCACTAAAACCCTAGTCTCTGACTTGGAAGCTGTGTTGCCCCGAATCGCATCGTGTTTTCGAACTGCCCTTATTGAGCCATAAATCTCTATGCTGCTGTTCTTGGGGTGCAGGTCAGCCTCCTGCTTTCGGAATATTACAGGGAGGCTGAAGGAAATGTAGACTCCTGCCAAGGACTCATCCCAAAGGCCGTGAGTCAGAACCGCAGAGCAGGAATGTTTTTAACAAGCTCTTCAGGGATCTGGAGCATGCTAGTTGAGTGAGAGGCACAGCTCTACACTATCTTGTTCCCACACCCAAGGGGTGATGATACCACAGGTCCTTCCTTTTCTTTTCTTTCTTTTTCTTGGTAGCATTTGCCTCTGACCGCCCTCCTTGAGTCTTGCCTTCTGTATTTCCTTTCCATGTTCCTCTTTCTCCGCTCTCCATTGCTCCTCTGCCTTCTCTACTCTGTCTCCTTCCCGCCTGCAGTTCCTTGGGTGTCACTTTTAGTTTGATGACTACGGTTCTGAAAAGTGAAATGTACATTGCAGTTTCTTAGTAAAGGTTACCATTTAAAGCAACTCTGCAGTAGATTATTTCAGATTACATCCTAGCTCACGATTTATTAGTGTTAATATACTAGTTTCTTTTAAAGTAGAGCACACTTATATTGGCTATGGTACTTTCTAAGTCAAAGGAGAAAGTTGTCTTGGAAAATTGTAGTGTTCAAGGGGTAAATGAGAATAGATTTCAGAAAGGAGTGTTTAATTTTTAGGGGAATAAAAAGAAACCCTAAAGCAGAAATCCAGCTTGGGGAAAACAGTAGGAGCCAATCTATTAGATGACTAACATCTAAATTTGATTATCAGAATGAAAAATACATATGTGTCACCATTTTATTCTATTTTTCAAGCGTGTTGGGTCTCTGGTGTTCATCATTATAGTAAGAAATAATATTTAAATAGATTCCCAAACAAGTGTTCCAGTTGCATGCGCACGCACACATACACACACGAAAATAAAGGTGCACATCTAATGGTAACACATACATCTGAACAATAAATGGATCATAAGAGTGATGACTTGGGTTTCTGTAGCCCCCGAAGTTTACAGCATCCTTCCCTCATGTGATGAGGTAGGAGGAACTTGGGATTTTAACCAGAAGAACTGAATTTCAGTGGTTGCTTTTCCACTTATTACCTGTGTGAGGTTGACCAGATCCCTTCACTGCCAAGAGCTTTGGACCTCTCCCCTGTGAACTGGATACTAGAAAGCTTATTCGAGGATCAGAAATAATGTGCATACAAACCCATCGGAAATTATAAAGCATTCTACAGATTTCAGAGATTAGAGAAACAGAGATTTTTAGAAATTGCTCAGAGATTATTTCAGAGATGAAGTAAGTACGACAGAGACACCTGTTCTCAGAAATGGGAATGGGTGGCATGGCTGACACCGCTCCCGGAGCTGCTGAGTCCAGATGCGGCCGGACTCTGTGTGCTGGGCTCTGCCGATTCTGAGCCAGGGTTGGGCATCATTCCCAGGGCACTGCTCCATTAAATCATGACCTGATTATAAGGACTTCGAAACAATGTAACTATTGAGTTATCTTAGTAAGAAATGCTACCATTACTAGGCAAAGTTTATACTTGTTTTTTAATGCAGGTAATGAATTTGGACATCCTGAATGGTTAGACTTCCCAAGAAAAGGAAACAATGAGAGTTACCATTATGCCAGAAGGCAGTACCATTTAGCTGATGATGACCTCCTTCGCTATAAGTTTCTAAATAACTTCGACAGGGACATGAATAAATTGGAAGAAAGATGTGGTTGGCTCTCAGCGCCACAGGTAAGCTCTTTACTCTAAATGTTATGTTTTAGTCCCCAGTGTTGTATATGCTCAGAAAGGCAATCGATTTAAGTCTGTAGGCAGGTGTTCTAAGCAGCACTTGATTATTCGGTGGGTAGTGCCCCGTAACATACTTCAGGTTGTCAAAACATGTTATTGAAGTCTCCGCAATAGATAATGAAGATCTTAAACATAATGCCCTGCTTACTTTCCTGTTTAGTTTATTGTTGTTGTTTAAATTTAGTAATTTTTATTTCAATTGGTTAAAGTAAATGACAAAAGCCCTGCATGGAATTTATTTTGGAAATTGCCGTGGAAACATCTTAATTGTTTTGACTTTTTCTTTATATAAATAATGACGCTGTCATAAAAATTACTTTGACAACATGTAGATTTCTTTATTCCTTTTTTCCCTTCCGTGACTGGTCTCTGAGTTGTCATTTCAATAGATGCTATTATAGCTGCGTGCTGTTTTGTATTTTTCATGAGCTTGGCTCTCCTCTGGAATTAAAGTCTCGTTTTTCAATAAGTTTTCAAAAATGTAATTAACAGGTGCAAATTTTATGCAGGCATTTTTTTCCCCTTGCAAAAATTAGCATATAGTAGGTGTTACTTATAATCCATTTACTTTTCACTGGCGCTGTTTGAAATTGCTGTTGATGTGTTTTTACTTTGGTGTCTATGTTGTTGTTTTTTAAATGACCGAACAAAGGTACTTAAATATTCAGTAAGATCGGCTGCATGACATGAACGCCCTACTCACCTTTATATTAGTGATGCTACTTCCAGAAGAGAGAGCACAAGGATGCTCCTTTTCAGTGGAAACAATGTTGATACCAAAAGGTGTGCCGTTTACTCTGGAGCTTTAGTGCCCGTTTCTAAACTACCAAGAATGGTGCTGCTGATATGCATGGAAATAAGTCCTTGAACATCTGGGGGTGGGAGAAAGTGGCATTGAAAAAGCACGGGCTCCTCGCTGCCTACTGTAAAACACCGTATAAAATGAGGACGTGTGTAGATGTAATTTCTTTTCAGACCTCTCTTTTATTAGGCAAATATATATTGTAAAGGACTTTGTTGCCATTGAATCTGACCAAGTTATGCAATAATGCAAAGCTTTTAAGATAACTGCAACTGCAGATACCTCAGTATAATAATGTTACATTATATTTTGAAAAGTAATTTTATGTATCTTATTCATCTGGAACTAAAACAAAAGTCTTAAAGAAAATTCACTTATAAATAGATGCTTTTGTATATATGTATGTGTGTGTGTATATATATATATATATATATANATATATATATGTGTGTGTATATACACACACACACATATGTATGTTTATGTATATATGTGTGTGTGTGTGTGTGTGTGTGTGTGTGTGTGTGTGTGTGTGTGTGTGTGTGTGTATATACACATACACACAAACTGTATATACCACAGGTACCCTGTTATTAATTAAAACCTGAGCCACAGCGCTAATCATCTGTTCCTTGTTTGACTTTGGCAATGGCTAGTGAGATTTCTATACTTTCCAAACAGTTTTTGAGAATCTTATTGGCGTAGAGTTTAATATGAGAAAATTACATGTTCAAAAAATATAATGTGCTGCCGTTTTCATTTTTGGCTTAACAACTAGCAAAGTTCCTAATTAAAGACAAAAACAACTTTTTGTAAATAATTGACTTGTGGCAGTGCCTAGGTACTATCTAAATGTCGTATATGTGTTGTTTCTTCAGGCCTATGTGAGTGAAAAGCACGAAGCCAATAAGGTCATCACTTTTGAGAGAGCAGATCTTCTTTTTATCTTCAACTTTCATCCAACCAAGAGCTACACAGATTACCGAGTTGGAACGAGATCACTGGGAAAATATCCTTTTCGTTGTCAGTGAATATAACTATCTGCATTTATTTTTATTTTTTTTACATCATAGATAGTAAGAAAGACTAAAGCTGCTCTTGATGTCAGTGGCTCTCAGTTTCCTTGTCTGAACAGTTGACTGATAAGTCTTTGCTCAGCTCAGTAATACTGAATTCACCCTAAGTTGTAGTTTTCCCTCTGAAAATCTCCTGTAAGCTGCCTCTGAGACTGTTCTTCCCCTTCGCGGAGTGAGCGCAGGCGGTGTTATGAAGAGCTTCCTCCCCTTGCCTCTTTCCCGTTCCCCGTCTCCTCTAGTGCGGGACGTAGCTGACCAGTGTAGGCCTGAGCTGGCAAGGAATCGGCGTGGGAGTGGGAGCAAAGCAAGTAGCAGGGAGAGTGTTTGGATGCCCTCTGCCTCTTCATTGACTCAGCCATTCATTTCCCAGACACTTACTGAGCCCCTGTGTGCCCACTGTGTGCTAGGTGCTGTAAATACAGGAATGTTTTTGGCACATACAGTCACTGCCCTCATGGAGCTTTTAAATGAGTGAAGAAAAACTCAGTAATTGTAAGTTGACAACTGTTACAAAAGGAAAAATACAGTACATTTGAAGAGATTGTAACTCAGCAAATCCTTGGCAGGGAGGGCAAGACCAACTCAGGACCTCGCTGCAGAGCAGCAGGAATTTTTAAGTGGGCAGTAGAAACGGTGTTCTCCCCTGGAGCGCGCACCGTGATTACTGTCCGCCACCCGAGCAAGGTGTCTGACGTGGAGTCCAATGTCAGGGTTTCTGTGGCCGCAGAAAGATAAACCCGGTTCCCATGGCTGGAACAGTAAGGAAGGTGTGTTTTCCACAGAAGAAAAGCCCGAGGTAGTGTGACCCCAGCACTGAGACAGTATCATTAAGCTCCCTGATTCATTGTCTTTCTGCATTCAACTTGCAGGGTGTCAGCAGTGTCCAGAGCTGGCACCTCTTACAGCTGCAAGGCAACAGCCATGTTTCCAAAGGTCACCTTCAGGCACAACAGAAGACAAATAGACATCATTTGCGTGGGTGTGTCTTTTTCAAGAATGAAGTTACTTTAGCAAATTTTCTTTTGTGTTGTGTATGTACAAAGAGACAGATAAAGAAAATCAATGTGATACCATTATCTGCACTAAAATAGAGCTATACTGCCCCAGGAAGCAGATGTTCTAACCCTCACCATTTCCATAAAGACTGCAAACAAATACTAGACCCGTCGCAGCTCGCACATGACCCTTCTCAGCTCCAAACTGCTAACATAATGCCCCTAGACAAGCTCCTCCTATACCTAGTAATGTAATATAGTCAGAATATAATCTTCATTATCACCAAATTAAAGTATAATCAAACCAAAAGTCATTTTCAGAACACTTGGAATCTAGTCCTTTTGCAGCAATGTCCTTGACCCTTAAGTCGGGGAGAAGAAATGTATGAAAGCAACTATTATGTAATCCACAATGCAGTAAGTGGGAAGGAAACAGGAATCTGCAAGGGAGGTCAGGCGACCAGGAAAAGAAAACAATTAAATGAGATTGAGTGATTGGGTGAGTGATTGAGTGAGTGATTGCTTTAAGCTTCCTTGGGGGAGAGAGGGAGAGAGAGAGATTGATTGCTTGATTGATTGACTAAGGAAAAGACTTTTAAGCTTAGACCTTGAGAAATGATACAATTATAGTAGAAGAATTTGAGGAAGGCCATTTCAGCTGTGGGAAGGCATGGCTATCCTTAGGTAATGGACAGCACACTGGATTAATCCGAGAATGGTGATCATAAAGAGAGATACTAGGCCACAGGCTGAAAAGATAGATCAAGATCGCATAATAGAAGATTTCAATGCCGTATTAATTAGCTTAGGGTTTTTTGGATAGTTTTGTAGTGAGTCGCTGAAGGTTTTGAGCTAGGGAGCTACTTGATAGTGTCTGCTTTGGGAAAGGCCTCATGTTCACAGTGTGGAGGAGAGCTTTTTGAGGAGAGCAATGCGAAGTACAGATAAGAGAAATCACAGTAGACATAAAAGATAATTAGTGCATGAAGTAAAGTAATGGTAGTAGAATCAAAAGAGGTGTGTGAACCCCTGTCTTGTAGTGAAAGAACTCAGCAATTGTTTGGACATGGGGTATCGAAGAGAAAATATAAGGCTTCGCTCTAAACAGTGGGAAGGCTGGGATGTTATTTTTACTGAGCCTAGCAAAGCAAGGAGGAGTAACCAGTTAGGGGAAAAGAAAATATGAGTTTAATTTAGGATCACTGACGAAGGAATTTCAGTAATGATGCTTGGAAGGAAAATCTCGGCCCAGACTTCATTGATCTCCAGTCTGAAATCTGTGTAACTTTAATAAGTGAAAACATACAATTACATAGTAGAACCCACCCAAAAGTTAATTTTATTTAGTGATACAAAGTTACATTTTACTTGAAAATCTAGTTTGGTTTTGATAAAACTTGACATAACTTGATTTCTTCTGAAATTTAGTGATTTGTCTAAAATGTCTATAGGCACCTGTTGTGCAGAAACTTTTTGCATTAATAAACACTGAGTGCTTCATATTAGTAACCCCTTTCAGAAACTACTCATTAAAAGCTGTAATGATACAGACACCTTGGAAAATTGGGCCATGTCTCCCTAAGAGTGGTAGTTGAAGCCCAAGTCNCGCTAATCATCTGTTCCTTGTTTGACTTTGGCAATGGCTAGTGAGATTTCTATACTTTCCAAACAGTTTTTGAGAATCTTATTGGCGTAGAGTTTAATATGAGAAAATTACATGTTCAAAAAATATAATGTGCTGCCGTTTTCATTTTTGGCTTAACAACTAGCAAAGTTCCTAATTAAAGACAAAAACAACTTTTTGTAAATAATTGACTTGTGGCAGTGCCTAGGTACTATCTAAATGTCGTATATGTGTTGTTTCTTCAGGCCTATGTGAGTGAAAAGCACGAAGCCAATAAGGTCATCACTTTTGAGAGAGCAGATCTTCTTTTTATCTTCAACTTTCATCCAACCAAGAGCTACACAGATTACCGAGTTGGAACGAGATCACTGGGAAAATATCCTTTTCGTTGTCAGTGAATATAACTATCTGCATTTATTTTTATTTTTTTTACATCATAGATAGTAAGAAAGACTAAAGCTGCTCTTGATGTCAGTGGCTCTCAGTTTCCTTGTCTGAACAGTTGACTGATAAGTCTTTGCTCAGCTCAGTAATACTGAATTCACCCTAAGTTGTAGTTTTCCCTCTGAAAATCTCCTGTAAGCTGCCTCTGAGACTGTTCTTCCCCTTCGCGGAGTGAGCGCAGGCGGTGTTATGAAGAGCTTCCTCCCCTTGCCTCTTTCCCGTTCCCCGTCTCCTCTAGTGCGGGACGTAGCTGACCAGTGTAGGCCTGAGCTGGCAAGGAATCGGCGTGGGAGTGGGAGCAAAGCAAGCAGCAGGGAGAGTGTTTGGATGCCCTCTGCCTCTTCATTGACTCAGCCATTCATTTCCCAGACACTTACTGAGCCCCTGTGTGCCCACTGTGTGCTAGGTGCTGTAAATACAGGAATGTTTTTGGCACATACAGTCACTGCCCTCATGGAGCTTTTAAATGAGTGAAGAAAAACTCAGTAATTGTAAGTTGACAACTGTTACAAAAGGAAAAATACAGTACATTTGAAGAGATTGTAACTCAGCAAATCCATGGCAGGGAGGGCAAGACCAACTCAGGACCTCGCTGCAGAGCAGCAGGAATTTTTAAGTGGGCAGTAGAAACGGTGTTCTCCCCTGGAGCGCGCACCGTGATTACTGTCCGCCACCCGAGCAAGGTGTCTGACGTGGAGTCCAATGTCAGGGTTTCTGTGGCCGCAGAAAGATAAACCCGGTTCCCATGGCTGGAACAGTAAGGAAGGTGTGTTTTCCACAGAAGAAAAGCCCGAGGTAGTGTGACCCCAGCACTGAGACAGTATCATTAAGCTCCCTGATTCATTGTCTTTCTGCATTCAACTTGCAGGGTGTCAGCAGTGTCCAGAGCTGGCACCTCTTACAGCTGCAAGGCAACAGCCATGTTTCCAAAGGTCACCTTCAGGCACAACAGAAGACAAATAGACATCATTTGCGTGGGTGTGTCTTTTTCAAGAATGAAGTTACTTTAGCAAATTTTCTTTTGTGTTGTGTATGTACAAAGAGACAGATAAAGAAAATCAATGTGATACCATTATCTGCACTAAAATAGAGCTATACTGCCCCAGGAAGCAGATGTTCTAACCCTCACCATTTCCATAAAGACTGCAAACAAATACTAGACCCGTCGCAGCTCGCACATGACCCTTCTCAGCTCCAAACTGCTAACATAATGCCCCTAGACAAGCTCCTCCTATACCTAGTAATGTAATATAGTCAGAATATAATCTTCATTATCACCAAATTAAAGTATAATCAAACCAAAAGTCATTTTCAGAACACTTGGAATCTAGTCCTTTTGCAGCAATGTCCTTGACCCTTAAGTCGGGGAGAAGAAATGTATGAAAGCAACTATTATGTAATCCACAATGCAGTAAGTGGGAAGGAAACAGGAATCTGCAAGGGAGGTCAGGCGACCAGGAAAAGAAAACAATTAAATGAGATTGAGTGATTGGGTGAGTGATTGAGTGAGTGATTGCTTTAAGCTTCCTTGGGGGAGAGAGGGAGAGAGAGAGATTGATTGCTTGATTGATTGACTAAGGAAAAGACTTTTAAGCTTAGACCTTGAGAAATGATACAATTATAGTAGAAGAATTTGAGGAAGGCCATTTCAGCTGTGGGAAGGCATGGCTATCCTTAGGTAATGGACAGCACACTGGATTAATCCGAGAATGGTGATCATAAAGAGAGATACTAGGCCACAGGCTGAAAAGATAGATCAAGATCGCATAATAGAAGATTTCAATGCCGTATTAATTAGCTTAGGGTTTTTTGGATAGTTTTGTAGTGAGTCGCTGAAGGTTTTGAGCTAGGGAGCTACTTGATAGTGTCT